CACTTCAAAACTGCTGTCAAGGTTGATCTGTGTGTTTTGAAATAGGAGCATGACAGCCTGTAGCGACGACAATGAGAGGAAGGAGAAGGTGAAGTGCTTACGTGCTCTATTCGAAGCCAACTGTTATCCGAAGGCTTTCATGTGCAAGTGACGCAGGAAGTTCCACTTTGGCTGGTTAGGCGTGGAGAAGTTAAAATTCTGGCTCTCGATCCTCTTGTGGGAAGAATATTTCAGAGTCGACATCAAGTATCCTGAAACGTTTTAAAATCGGTGTGACTCATAAACCAGAAGGAAGCAGAAGTTTATGAAGTTCGAAGACTCGTTACCAGTGACAGACCAATCAGCGGTGGTCTACAGAATACTATGCCAGATTGTAATACGAGGTATGTCAGTGAAACAGGCAAATGCGTCGGCACAAAACTGCCGGAGCTTCAGATTGGAATCAACCACAAGGGTAAGCCGATACTGGTCAATGACCACATACAACAGTGGAATAACAGTTCCGCCCTTGAGGAAGCGAGGGTGATCGGCCGATCCAACGAGAAGATGACCAGACTGATGGCCAGAAATGCCTTCCAATAAACGCTGGCTTAAGTCAAATAAGTACTCCAAAGAGGTTGCGAACTGTATTTAAAGGCATACCTCCGAAAAGGCCATTTACTTAGAACTGGAAAGAAAGGTTTGTCCTCAGGAGGTAGACTTTTTGTTTTGGAATCTTTTGATTCTCTATTTAACCCATTCTGCAAGATACGATGAAAAGGGCAGGTCGAACAATTCGAATGCGCAAAGTTGGCGATCACATTTGCTTCGTGTCCATAGTACTGGTTGCATCGGCCATAGCGGCAGTCGTCGATCTAAAGGTTCGTTATGATTCCTTCATCGAGGCTGTTCAGCGCTTGTTCGACGGGGATGCGGGGAGTTCAGCATACTTCGTGATTGATTATAGACTGAATTTCCACGCATCGACCATCTATCGCGCTATCTTCCTCCTGTGGGAAGAATATTTCAGAAGCGACATCAAGAATCCTGAAACATTTTAGAATCAGTGTGAGTCATAAACCAGAAGGAGGCAGAAGTTTATGAAGTCCGAAGACTCGTTACCAGTGACAGAACAATCAGCGGTGGTCTACAGAATAGCATGCCTACTAGCGTAGGCGTGACTGTGTTCTGAGTTGGTGGCCCCTACAACGGTGCACAAGGTAGATGCACTGAACAAACGCGAGGCTCAAGGCAGGCTACTGCACACGTTATTGAACTGTACGACAATAACAAATGAAATAGATAGGCGGCGTCGGTGGAACGCCCGGGCGCGGGATCCCGCCACGCCGACTAACCGTGTCCGACTATGCCTCCCGACTTCTTGGCCTTGCAGAACACTGGGCTCAGGTGGGTGGGGGCGCGGAGAGTGCGGTAGATGCTGCGCAAGTCGTCTATCTCTATAAAGTTATTCACACTCAGTTCAACTCCAATGCTGCCGTCCTGCTGGGGACAACGTCCGTCCTACAATCGCGAGCAGCCGTTTCGCTGTGCAGCCCTTCAATGATCGTGCCTCTTTCCCGGTTCGGCCAGTATAGTTGCAGGGACAGTCGCCCTCGGGGATACTACCAGTAACACCAAACTCTCGTCTTAGATTTAATTAACGCTTCGTGCGCGGAATATGACTGCACCTCGGACAACCGTCTGGTGTGCAAGGACCGTGCTTAAGTTACGGACGTTGGAAGACAATTTAGATGCAAGAACTTGTACTCAGCTCTCGTGATCAGTCACGCGTTCCGACAAGATCGCATTAGCCGCATCATGAAGACCATGGCAGGATGTGGTCACCGATCGTCTGTGCCTACTGACTGTTGCAATGAGCGCGAGTTATTAAGTTTAGCATCTCCACGCAGTCACTGCTGTGCGGTTACATGATCATGCTGTGAGGAACTGCAGTGCTGCTTTTTCAGAGTCATATGATTTAACGCCTTGTCGCCTGCCTTATAATGAGAGGATGACCTTGATCGGTATACTATGTCTCAGTCTGGCATTGGTGGCATGCGTAACTTTTATTATAATTAGTTGTACTTTACTATCCTATTGATAAGCCTTGCTTATGTTAACGGCACAAAAAGGGTCGTCTGCCGAGAAGTTAACATGCTAAATTCCTTCCCCTCCCTCGTGAAATAAGGCATTTCCCTTCCGAAGCTGAACGCGCATGATCGCTGTGGCTACGATGCCAATGCTGTTCGGTAGTCTAAACATATTAGTATGGCCGCAGACAGGTACTCGGAGCACATTCGGCAGACACGCACATTTAGTCCAACTGCGTTAGTTGCCTTGACCGATTGCGATAAATTTGGCGATGTAAGTGCGATTCAAGCCCTTGACAGCGAGGGGAAGCATGAGTACAGTCAACGCTCCAGCCATCTGAGCTACGAGGACCAACCGGGAGAAATGAGTTGAATTGCATTTAGATCGAAATAAATTATTTCCCATCTGTCAGAACAAACATTAACTGCGTTATTGACTGGATTCTTGGAAGAACCCCATATGATACTGGTGTTGCTTACTTTACACCCCGACGCCGGCCGACTGATCTCAACTACGCTGACGATACTGCCTTGATCGTCGCAGACTCTGGTGGCCAGTAGTCCATGTTGTCACTAGTGTATGAAGTCTCTCCTTCGGTCGGTTTATGCAAAACGGCCGGAAGGACTAAATTGTTTTGGCGCTGAACAGGAGAAGGCAGTCCTCGGGATTAATGACTGTCAGCTTGAAATAGTGGGTAGGCAGTTTCAAATACCTCGCGCCTAAACCAGCATCGAATGGGCAGTAGAGGGACGACATTGTTTTTCGCATCCATACCTACAGCCCCAACACTATATCTCCCCTGCAACAAAGATCCGCCTAAACCGTGTATCCGTCTGGCTTGTCTTTCTCAACGATTGTGAATGATGGACTTTGGGTGTGGGGGAAGTGCGAAATCTGGATGTTTTTGACCCGCATTGCCTATGGACCATTCTTCAAGTGAAGTACGCTGACTTCGTCTCAAATGAGACGGTCCGCGTCCGCTGCGACAATACTGCGGGAATATCTCCTGCCATCCACGAAAGAAGACTGAGGTGATTTAGACACGTCCTTAGTAGCTCGGTGTGACTGCTTCTGGCTCAGCGCCATGGTGCACCTGAATGCGTCGAAGTGGAGGTCAAGTCAAAACCTGGTTGGACGCAGTTGGTCATGTGGTTTTTAGGCTTTGTTTATTCAGTCTCCGTCACTGGAGATGAGAATGGGTCGAGGTGCCCGGGTCGGTTTTCGTAGATGGTTACATGAGTGGAGGATCAATACGTCGTTCCCGTGAATGTGAAAGTGCATTGTGACTCCAGTGCTAGCCAAATGGCGGAGCATATTCGACAAAGATGGACAAGCCTATTTCCAGCGTTATCTGCAGCACTTTGTTGTAAGTGTCCGAAGGCTGCGATATCCCTGAGAAGTGTTTCTCCCAAAGTGTCTGCCTTCAGGTCAGCTACATTTTTCAATGATAGGTGTCATTTTCGAGAACGTAGGCGATGCGTTGGCCTCTGGCTGTATGTGGGTGGAGACTTAAGCTGATGAGTCACGTTGCCTCTCTGAAGTCTGATTCATCCGTCAGTACCTGGCTTCTGTCACTGGCTTCTACGTATAACGAGTTGAATTCTGTGAATCGAGACACTGACGATTAGTCAAGCAGAAGTATGTCAACCTCCTAGCTATAATTGTGGATTGCTCATCGTTGGATGCGTTGGTGTTGTTGGCGTGTCGTAAGTGTACTTGCTGTGAGGATTTCGGAATGAACCAGATCTTCCTTTTGAGTGTAACAATCACACTGTTTGAGTGTAGGCGACTCCTTGTGCATATATCGTACGGATGACAAAGTGTCACAGCATTTGTTTGGGCCGATCGGCCTCATCTAGCTTACATGCAGCGAAATTGACGTAATTGAAAAATAATTTTAAGAGAAACAATCGTGTCCGCGGAACCACGGAACCTGACGTCGTTTGACAATAAACTGCCGTTTTGAGCTCGTTGGTGTTTCCATGGCAGTCTGTAAAGAGGTCTACGACATGACACATTGGAATGATGATGGACGCCTCGCACATTCCTCCAGGCATGTTTTCTAAAGCCAGCTCCTTGGACGGTGAGCGAAGCAGTGGGAGGAAAGAGGGAAATGTGCATCCGGGTTTATTTTGTAGAGCCAGTTCTTTAGGGATGAGTGTTAGTTTTCAGGTTTCCCGTGGCATATTGTTCCCACTTTCGTTTTTGGTCACGTGCCTGTGCGTCCCAGGAGTTGTAGATGACATAGCACTTGCGAATCGTGATAGTTTTTTTTAGGTATTGAACCTCATTTGGATTTTCTACAGACTCGACCTTCGCATCATCATGCCCTCAACGATGGATGGTAGTTTATGACGTTTCAGCTAATTAGCCTACTTGACCTTGTAGTCATTCTACCTCTTATTCACGTGACGGCGATCGTTGTGGTCTTCTTATTTAATGAGGTTAACTGTGCAACTCCATAAACGGCGTCCTGTGGTACACCCGATTGATCTGCGAGCGTGCTACACAGACTGACGTCGTGGGAGATGATGCTAATTTATTTACCTCGGCCTCTGTCTCTATCCACAAAGACGTACAATTTGTTCAAGCAGTGCATAGGCAGACTAGACTGTCAGGTCTGCCGTCAGAAGTGCAAGGCCGTCAGCAGTCGTGCACCCCGATGGTGCCTCGGATTATGTATTCTCTGAAGTACGGCAACTCCTGGTTTTCGTGCCAAGTGTAAATCATGCATTAGACTAGGTAAACGGTCAAACTCCTGCGACTCATCCTTATTTCGAAAATGGTTACATCGGAAATCTACCTGTCCCCACCCAAACCGTCTGCCTAATAAATGTAACGTGGTCTTGACATCGGTTGGCTGTGGCGACTCATCGCACGTCTTGTATACCAACAGCACGTGGAGTAGTAAGGGTAGGACTGGGCCCTCCCTAGTGCCCCGCCCTTCTCACCGAGTAGAGACTCGAAAAGTGCCTTGCGACGGCTGGGAGGCTATACAATTGAGTGTCTAGATCTGACACACCCTCCACCTCTTTCTCCCTCTCATCCTTCTTCTTCTTCTTCTTCTTCTTCTTCTTCTTCTTCTTCTTCTCCTCCTCCTCCTCCTTCTGCTTCTTCTTCTTCTTCTTCTTCTTCTTCTTCTTCTTCTTCTTCTTCTTCTTCTTCTTCTTCTTCTTCTTCTTCTTCTTCTTCTTCTTCTTCTTCTTCTTCCTTTTCTTCTTCTTCTTCTTCTTCTTCTTCTTCTTCTTCTCCTCTGTTTGTAGATCGGCAACATGCCAGCAGGCTAAACTCTCAATCTGCATGCTTAGTCTTTTGATTGGCATTTAAGTTTGAAGAGTGCATGACGTTGAGCACAACCAGCATACCTAGACGCTGTCTCCTTACTTGCGCAATTTTGTGTAAGTGACAACACGTGTTGCCTCCTACTTAGAAGTGCTTAGCCCAGTGGGAAGCATTTTGACCCAAATCAAAAAAGCAGTGCTTTCTTCGGAATAATGTGTTGCACTTAGTTGTCAGGTAGATGGTAGCAATTTTGACGAAAGTCTGGATTTTGTAATTTCTTAATTTCAAACCATCCTGGCCCTTGTCTCTTGGGCATTTTATCTTAATTTTGCGAAAAGACACAGACTGCTGGAAGAATTTCGAGTGGTTTTTCTTTTTGATAGATAGAAATGACAGTGCTTGAGGTTGAAGATCTAAAGATGAAGAGGTTATGACGGTGGCTGTCCGATTGTAAAGAAGTTGTTGTGGAAAGTGGATGCCTGGTTTTCAGCAAGGTGTGTTGAATAAGATATTTCAAAATGTCTTTGCTTGTGGCACCTTGTGGAATCACAGCCTAGGGTGAAAGGGAGACGCACCCACCCATGACACAACATGGCAGACCAAACCGGCCGTGAAATGTGTGCGTGAAATTAGACAGCCAATCAGCGCGCGGCGCGTCATCGAGCAGGACTGATGTCCTGACTCACGCGCACAGCCCAATCACTAAACGGTTAAACGTTCAGGAGGAGGGATTCATCGTGTAATGGTGATTGTGGGACTGACTGAGGTAGCAATGGCCGCTGACGAGACCGCAGTGTGTGCTGACTGCGCTAAGTCATGTTTGAGAAATAGGGTGACTGTGAAACCGGCTTCTTTAAAGCGCGAATCGAAGATAGGGCAAGACTGCCTGTGTCTAATCGTGCGTGTTGCGTTACGTGTGACGTGGGGGTATCTGGTAGGAGGGCAAACCGAATCGGTGTGGTAGATTGCATCATTTTTCTATCGCGGTTCATGCCTGTTCCACACGGCCAACTCCAAACTCTGCCTAGCGGTCACCCCCCAGTAATTACGTCGACCGGCCAGCTAAACCGGATGAGGATATCTGGTGTTTTCTGCGTTCTTACAGTCAGTAATTCTGTTTCCCTTCCCTTCCCTTGCATTCATTTCCGCTTTAAAAATGTCCTAAGGAGAGGACGAAATGCAATCTCATAGACAACAATAGCTAAGATTGATGCTAGCCCCCAGATAGAGACCCATTCGACGGAAATCGTCCTCATCTATAAGTTTGACGGGGCCGAAGTTTTCGCAAGAGGTGAAAACCTCGTGGGTCGTCGGCTGCTTGAGTCAGGGTTCTCTGTTCCGCATTCAACTAACAAGCGCAACGATCTTCCGCCTCCATATTCTGTATTGCGAGTTTGCCTGAGCGAAATAATTGGCCAGTCGGGGCGAGCACGCCAGAAACCACCAATCCACTACCAGCACGCGGTACTTTTAATGCTCTAGAATCCCCAGGACCCTAGTAATTAGACGACTTTTGACGATTTTCAAACCAGTCCACGCAGGAATATGCGGTTGTTCCCCCCACACCTACCTTCCTTCTCTTCCATACGCCCGTTGGTATATAACATCATCGATACATAGAGACTCGACTAGACTATAGGCTAACTCATGACGAATAAACAACAACCGTATCAACTGGAACGCGTGGGCTACTGTGGCTGCAGCGTTTCGTCGGCCGCAAAATAAAAACTCAATTTTGATAGTCGTATCAGGAAGGATGGATTCTGCCAGTCGTAGGGGGCATTGGCTTCCCCATTCATATGAGCGTTTTGAAAAATTTATAGCGATTTGTTTATGATCGCCATTACTCAGGAGTAATATAAGTTTTTCCGACTATCTTGGGGGACGATGTCAACTCTTATTTTATTAGGTAGACACAGTCGTGGTTTGCGCGTGATTTATCGTTTTTCGCGGGACTGACGTCACTCTCGGGCCTCTCTGAGCCCGCTGGACAATTGGTGATGTGATGGAATGCAGTAGATTTCGCGCTGTTTAAGTCTTCGTGCACACATGCGATGCATGTTCTGGGCCCCTCCGCTCCACACGGCAAGAACTAAGCGAGGCGCAGAAGTGGAATGAACGAACTTTCACATAGAGCAGTGTATCCGTCATAATGACGTTGGCAAACAGGTTGTTACACGAGCGTTTTTTAAACATTCCGCTAATGTTTCACAGATATGCGCGTGTAGCCCAATATGCGCCTACATTGTCTAAGTGCGTTTGCTTGTGCGAGTGAAGTGAAATGGCGTAGGGTCACCTAGGATGTGGCGTTTTGCCTAAAATCTTCGTGCACACGCATATGGTTGGATAGGACCCCGCAGTGTTTACATGTCCCAGACACTCTTAACATCGCGCATTGGCCACAACCACGAGCACTGACTTTCCAGACCCAATGCAACCAAGTTTCGGGTTGTCAACCAATCTGCTTCGTGATTCAAATGTGTGAGCGCCATTGAAATAACCTGGTACAATGTCAGAATTGATCGTTATAGGAGTAGTGCTGGGTGTCCTTTGTGTCCGAACGGCTTTCTCGTCGTAGTGAACCCAGGTTTTCTGGGCCAGAACAAATAGGAATCGAAACGCAGTGGCAGGGGTGTCTTAAATGATGACGCTGGTTACGTTTGAGCGGCCTTTTATGCTGTGGGAGGCGAATTGGTTGTGCCAAAATTGCAGTGGCGCTAAAGGTTTAAACAAGACCAATCCTCAATTTTAAGAAGTTATGCGAATATACTGGGATTATTTCGGTGTTGGCGATGCTAGTTCGCAGCTTTTAAGTCTCGTGTGTCCCCGTACGTTTTTGCTTCCCCTATTCAAATAATAATAGGGGTTAAAGCATCAGTTTGTAAGGCAACGTGTACAGCAGGCCGGTTGGGTGTGAGGCCTTCCAACGACCACTAGTTGAAGTATAAAGTATCAATTGAGGTCCCCAGGATGTCCGTACATCGTCTCCTTTGTTGGTCTTTTTTGCGAGGTCCCGCGGAGATATCGGTTGAGTACGCGCTCGTCAGCCATTCCCACAATGTGGCCACTTCCTCTGAATCACAATTTATTCGACACGATCCGCATGCAGAGCACCTTCGTTCATTCTAGGGTCCCAATGTCCCTGGCCCCTTTCTTCCGCTTCATCTTTTGTATTCTTCGGGGGCAAATCAGACCAAACTATTTAGCTTTCTTACATTGTTTTCATGCATTATTGCCAGTTTTGTTTGAAAACTAAATGGTACACCACAGTTGCGCAACTCTGTCCCCAGTTGTGAGGCGAATTCCAGTGACATTAACTATGCCTTCGTCGCATTCCTCATTTGGTACATAATCATTGTCTTCCTGATGCCAGTGGTCAGCACCGAGTGTAAGCACTCGAGAGCAGGGAGTCAGACCCAGCTGCATATCTTCTTCACTTGCGGTACTCTGTGTCCCGTCAGTCGTTAATGTATTGACGATATTTACTTCCTGCTCGCATACATCGGGTGTTGGGTAGATGGTTGACAACTCCGTAGTTGATGTTGATTCACGGCCGTTCCTCTCGGTAGGCGTCCAACGATATGACATAGGAATTGAGGCCAGAGAGGACGCTTGTGTTCTTGAACTCTCGTGGGATTTCTCTTAGATGCTGCACCTCCTGAAACTGTGAACTAAGCTTCTTTATGAACTAAGAGCTATCACGGTCGTAGATTTCGGCCGGAATTAAAACGACGCAAGGTCCTTTTGTGTCGAACATCTGTTGTATTGCCTGAATTATCTTCCTGAGGGTGAATAAAATTTCGAGGCCAGCATTAGTCCCCAGTCGATGAAGTCTCTTGATAACTTTCTCGCAGAGTTCAAGGCGTTGGTGTTTGAGAAAGCCACTGAAAGGTTCTATACCCAGAGCTGCAGAATATGGAGTACTCCGGTGGTCGAAAGGTGTCGTCTGGTCTGAGCAACGACTGAGGTCACCTGAATTAACGGCCGTGCGTTTTATTGGTGGGTGCGAACGGGTTCTGCAGCTGCCCGCTCTCACGGTCGTCAGTTCGGTCACTTATCCGTGTCGCCTCCGATTGGTCTAGCACGCCTCTCAAACCCTATATGCGCTCGTATGACGCGGCTTTCGGCTTGCCGGCACCATGAAACTGATCAACTTTTTGCTCTTCATCAGTTGGTTGCAGCCACACAAAGCTCATTCGCGGGGAAATACTTCGCGTCTGGTGAAATAACCTTAGTAGCTGACGCGGTCATTGGCAGCACTTACTCTTCCGTCTCAGCAAAGGATGTGCACATAAAGGTCTTCTCTGACTTCTGATATGGGAAATCTTGAATTGTCCCATCGTACCTCTACAGTCCTTCGTTTCACTGGTGTCCGCATGTCCCTAACTTTTCCCTGTGCTGGGAGTCAGTCAGTCACTTTGCATCTCTCTCCGTGTGTGCAGCAGTAGGCTTCATCGTTAGAAGGATGTGGCTTTATTGGCGTCGGGTGTGCTTTTGGCGTGTTCATCGGCAAGGCATTATCCCTACTAAACTAGTATGATGTTTTAGGTGTGCCTATCCAAGGACTTTCAAAATTACCCATACAAGCGAATATGCGAGTTCCAGGAACTAGTTGATCAGAAGAAGAAGAAGCGATTGCTGGAACAAGGTCTTTATTCGCCTGACGTTTCGGATTCTCACTTGAATCCATCACTGATGTATGTAATGGGAACGAAGCACACTGATAAATCAAGGGTGCCCACTCGTGGCGTCCCTGTACCTTTACATATCCGATTCCATAGCGCTGAAGAATTGTTAGTAGGGCCGATTATGGAAAGCTGCTCTAAGATATGAGACATTTCCGAGCTGCATCAGCGACATCATACTTACTTTGTCCATTTGGCAACGGTTTTTTTTACTAGCTATACCAAATACTCATCTCTTTATCTTGCAACCACTAATTATAAGGATGCCTTCTTCAGACTAGATCCAAAAGTCTTACAGTGCGTGACCGATCTCATGAAATGTTGGCTGAAATTCC